GAACAATGAGGACATTTTTAAGCTCTTGGGACTGTGTAAATAAATACCTGATAAGCTCACAGTTTCAGGATCCAAGAACGAGGATCTGAAGTCATCGTTGTGTGTCTTTGTGAGCCTCTCTACAGGCCTTGGGAGGACTCTGTGACTCCACAGTCCGCTTCCTGTCTAACTGTGGTCGGGGGTTCTGGCGCCGCCTGGTGGTCCCCAGGGAATAACCTCAGCTGGGAATCCAAAGCTCTGGTTTTGGAGATTGTCTAGGCGACTTACTAGCCATGTGACCTTGGACAAGTCACTTGATGGTGCCTGATGCGTGGTAGGTGCTTCACGAGTATGGATCAAATCAAGAAATAAACAAGTAAACCACCTGTTTGAACCTCAGTTTCCTTATCTGGGAAATGGGGGAATAACAACTCCCCAATAGGCTACACTCATGTAAGTAAATTTGCCTCCTAGAAGTGCTTCCCAGACTTTCTTGGGCTTCCCATGAGTTACCTGGGGAGCTCCTCAAGCACAGATTCTGGGTCGAATGGGCCTAACTTCTGCATTTTCTGCTAATCCTTCGGGGATGGTGATCCAGACCACACTTGGAGTAGCTACGTCCAAGACCCTAAAGTCCTTGAAATTATTAACCTTATCTTTCCAGCCCGTGGAATCTGGACAGACCCCAAGGCTAGACTAACCAGTTGATCCAGGGTGCCCATCCTGGAGGGGTTTCCTGGGACGTAGGACCCTCAGTGTTCAAACCAAGAAAGTTCTAGGCAGACTAGAAAAGTTTGTAACCCCGTCAGGATAATGGACAGGAAAGGGTTGAGCTGCTGTGTGAACTGGGGGAAGAATAAAAAAGCAGGTGAGGCCATTAGCTAAGGAGAGGGGCATCTTCCCACCCAGAAAAGTTGGGTGACTTGGCCCACACCACACAGCTTCTCAGCGACAGGGCTTCTACTGCTCCTGGCTTCTAAGCAGTTAGGCACCTCGGCACTTTCTGCACTAGTCTTTGCTGCCTTCTGCAACACATTTCTCCTCACTCGGCAAACACAGTGTGTTTATTTATAAATCAGCTTGTTTGGAACCTAAAATTTGGTGCAGCTGATTTTGGCTGTGAGGGGTTCAAATTTTTCCTCTCTTCGTTTTGGTCTGCTTTGTTTCTCGTTTTGTGAACGAAAAGCGCAAAGTAATAAAAGCACAATGAGGCCACTAGAGTGGTTTGACTGCGAAGCCTCCAGAAATGTGGCAGCCTCATCGTATGCAGATGGATTTTGTGTCTCTAGATGGTAGATTGGAAACCCATGAGGTTTACTTCCAGGGATTTACAAACCTCAAATAAATAAAGAGCTGGGATCTCTTTCCAGGCTGTTTCTCCTGGAGGCAAGATGGGAGGTTGGGAGAAGCAGCCAGGATGGGCAGGTTGCTGGAGGCTGCTCCTAGGCTCCTTAGTCCAGTTCCTAAGAGGAGAGCTAGTCATCGGGCAGGAGCTGCAATTTGCAGAATGAACTTGGAATTCCTTTTTTTTTTTTTTTTTTTTTCAGGATTCTTGGCATTTTATTTTGCACACTGCAGAAGTCTTAGAAGAAAGTGGCTTTTTTTTTCCCTAAGATTTTATTTATTTGTCAGAGAGAGAATGAGAGGGCACAAGCAGGGGAAGTGGCAGGCAAAGGGAGAAGCAGCCTCCCTGCTGAGCAAGGAGCCTGATGTAGGGCTTGATCCCGGGACCCTGGGATCATGACCTGAGCCAAAGGCAGCCGCTTAACCAACTGAGCCACCCACCCGGGCCTCCCAAAGTTGCTTTTTATTATTAACACTGAGTATAAGTTCAGGTTTTTGTTGGGAGGTGGAGTGGGGGGAAAAGGGGGTGTAGACAGAGACAGAGACAGAGAGAGAACAGAGAGGTTGGCTTCATTTTCTCTGACTCTACCTGAAGTGGGTTCCCGAGGCCACAGAGTCTGTGGGCAGCTCCTGATCAGTGCTCTGTGCAAATCTGTCATCCTTTCCAGGACCGGGAGAAGGGAGTCTTAGCCTTGTCCACAATTACATGAGTGTTCAGCCCTTTCAAAACGGTGAGGTTGGGGAGCCTGGGTGGCTCAGTGAGTTAAAGCCTCTGCCTTCGGCTCAGGTCATGATCTCAGGGTCCTGGGATCGAGCCCCGCGTCGGGCTGTCTGCTGAGCGGGGAGCCTGCTTCCCCCTCTCTCTGCCTGCCTGTCTGCCTACTTGTGATCTCTGCCTGTCAAATAAATAAATAAAATCTTTAAAAAACAAAACAAAACAAAACAAAACAAACGGTGAAGTTGGCTGGCAGCTTTTGCCACTGCCTTAAGCCTGAGGATGGCATCAGCTTCCTCCAATGTTTTTGGCAATACAATGCACACGTGTGTGCACATATGTGTGTGCACACCTACATGTGCACATACACATGGGGATACTGTGCACAGGGGAGTTATGATAAAACACACAAACTGAAAAATTTGCTTTCTGTGGTCCATAGAGAACATGGAACAGTGACCAAAGGACACTCTACACCTTGGCTCTAGGCTGAGACCCAAAAAGTGGCCTCCAGCATCACAGGTCTGCTGGGGGGAGCGGGTGGTACCTGATTCTGTTGGGAGGGAGATAGCCAGTCACGTGAGCTCGGAAACCCCATCTGCATTCCTGGTGTCGGGGTTGATGGGTGGGCTCATATGTCCATGTTCTAGAATCAGAAACCCTGAGACCTCACAGGACACGTCCACGCCCCTGGGTCAGCAGATGAGAGGAGCACAGGAGGTGCTCTCAGCCTGACCCCCGGCCCCCCTCATGTCCGGCCTCTGTGTTCCTTGTTCCTCTTCTTTCCCTCATGCTGGCTCTTTTAAGAGTTCTGGTATAAAGCAGAGCTTCCCTGAGAAGTTCTCACTTCTGAGTGCAACACAGACAGCCTCCAGAGCCCTGTTTCACAGGCTTGAAGTTTCCCGTCGCAGTGGTGAACTTTCATGAATCCACCCTCCCACCCGGCAATGAGATCACTGTGAGGACACACAAAGTCCCCGTGTGGGAAAGGTACTGCCAGTCACCTGTTTTCCCTGGAGACTGTGTGTGCGGAAGGTCCTGGGCGGCTGCAAGCCCTCTCGGGTTGACTGTACACATATGTGCAATATGACTTGGCCTTGCTGAACTGTCAGCCAGGCGTGGAAGGTTGACCGCAAGACCCCTGTGTCTTCTTCTGGTCCCTCATTCCCCAAGTGAGCCTCTCTCTCTAGCTACCCGGCGAGCCTGCTCTAAATGTTGGAGTAGAATTCCTGCATCTGGGAGACCCTTCTCTTGTCCCCAGTCCTAAGGGTAGCTGGAACCAGGGTTAACTCCGTGAGATGCCAGGCTCTGTATCTTGGGAGCTATGTGTTTTGGCTTGAGAAGTCCAAAGACTTAATATCCAGTGACACATCTTTAGCTCTTTTTGCTGTAAACAGGCCGTCTCTGCCCTCACCACTGTCCTTGCTGGGGTCAGTCAGGCTCACTCTGACCTGGCAGAGGAATCTCGAGCTTTTTCCAGCTGCAGAGGTTACGGCAGAGGCCTCACACCTACCTACCTTCCTTTCTTCCTTCCTTCCTCCCTTCCAGATTTTATTCATTTATTTATTTAAGAGAGAGCACAAGCAGGATGAGGGGCAGAGGGAGAGGGAGAATCAGACTCCCCACTGACCAGGGAGCCTTTGGTGGGGCTTGATCCCGGGACTCCAGGATCATGACCTGAGCCAAAGGCAGATGCTTAACTGACTGAGCCACACAGGTGCACCCCCCACCACCACACCTTTCTTCCCTCTCAATGTTCTTTCCCTTCAGGATTCCAGAGCAGGGGGACAGAGCTCCCCCTGGGAAGAGGCTTGCTGGAGTTTAGGAGTGGGGCAAATGGTGCTGTGCCCTGCATTTGGCCACAAAAGAAACTGCCCCACTGGCCAGTTTCGACCCATAGAGGTCACAGACGCTTTGCTAGTCAGGCAAGGGCAGAAATCACCCCTCCCGGCCAGGAGTGCTGGGAAAGATCATTTCAGCGCCTGGCTGCTCTTCTCTCATTAAGACAGCTCGGTTACAGACCTTTCTGTCCTTCAGAAGCTTGGAAAGAACCCTCTTCTCTTGGCTGAGCTCTTTTCTGTGTCTCACATTCTGACCCTCCCCATAGCTCTTCCTTGTCTGGTTTGTGAAAAAAAAATAAAAATACACACACACACACACACACACACACACACACACACAGCTGAGTTCCAGCATGTTTCCCACTCAGACTATCAATAGTGCCCTCACTGCCGATAAACCACGAAGCATCTGGAAAACCATGGGTCAAGTGTTTGGATGTGTCTGGTTATTTGCGGACTCCCTACCCGCCACTTCAGGAGGCCTGGTCCTTAAACTGACTTCTTTCTTTTGCAGTTTCTCTGGCGACGTGCATAAAAGGGCGTGACTCAGTGGGGATTGATTAAACATTTATTTGCTGCTGATATTCTTTACTCTGAATGAGGTTGAGCTATAGATTTTAATTTTAAAATTCTCTTCAGAAGCAGCCCCAACTCATCCCTGGGACAGAATTCCCTTAGAACCAGGTGAAGTTTGGGAGCCTAAAGGCTTTGTTCCAAAAGCTTCCAGCAGAGCTGGGCGGTTGGAAACAACTCCCCAGATCAAGGTTTTCCACAGAAAGTCCCTCCTTCCCACGCCAGCTTCCTCTGTTCCCATCCCTTCCCGCAGCTTTGCTCCTTGACAAAATTCAGCGGAAGTTCCCTGTGGAGTAAGTCTCTAGAAGTCTTCCTACCACCCTGTTTCTTCTCTTTAATGGCTATAAAAATCCAGTTCAGAGGAGGAAAGGTACTAGTCTGGTAGGCCCTGCCTTTGAAGGTACTTCCTGGCGCTGACAGAAGGACAGGCCACGAATACCAGGGACATGACACGTGCCGTCGGAGTCTGGAGCCCCACATCGAGATGCACCCGTGCCTGGCAGGGCTGACCAGGCCAAGGCTGGGCTGCCGTTGGGGTAATAAAGTCCATGAGGCGGCGGGTGGCACACACGCTCCATGTAAGACTGGTTCTCAGCAGAAAGGGTAACTCTAGGGAGTAAGGCCCAAAAATGCAACTTTCTCCCCACAAGTACTTTCCTCTCCTGGCATTTGGCTTTCCTCCAGTGAAGACATTGCCAGACAGAGCCGTCCCTGTGTTTAGCAGATGGCCGGAACGTCTTCAGACTTCCAGAGCTGCCAAGGCTGGGGCGATATACACTGAATCCATAGCCATGAGGACCAGCTCTGGAGTCTATGGACCCTGGGATGTGGCCCCAACCTAGAGCCTTGCTCTCTGTGTCCTGCCGAGGGGCGTTAGGTGCCTCAGGTGGGAAGGGCCGCTGGGGCAGGACCACCGGGGGCGACCTTCGAGAGACCCTCACATCAAAACAGGATGAGATTGGGTTGTTGTCCCTTAAACACCTCATGGGGTTGCTTTTCGGGCCCCTTGCCTCAGTATGTGGTGTGCGAAGGGCAAACTGGGGGTCTGGCCCCGGAAGCCAGGGTCTCATCTCCATCTTCCCAGCCAGGGCAAGTTCAGAGGAAGCCGAGAAAAGTCACTTCACTGATTCGCTTCCACTGATCTTCTTTGGGGACCTGGGGTCTTCTTTCCTATCCTTCCAAGGGGAGGCCCGGTGCCCTCAGCACTGCTCAGCCTCCACGAAGCCCTCCTTCTCGTGGCCCGAGGGCTCGACCTCCGTGTAGGTGGAGTGGTTGGGGTGGTTGCGGAATCTCACTGCTGGCCAGTGGTGAGGTCTCCGCTGCGGGGGGGGGCATGACGCAGAGTCAGTGGGCATGCCCTCACCCACCTGGGACCACCCCCAACCTGCCCCTCCCCCGCCAGGGACAGTGCTGAGCACAGAGACTCTCTTCTCAAGGGCGCTGGGGGCCTCCTGTGAGCTAGGTGGAGTTCAACCCCCCGTCCAGAAGCCCCCCGACCCCCCGGTGGTGATCCTTCCACTGGTGGGAGCCTTGCTGCAAGCCCAAGAAGTCTGAGAGGAGGTCCTTTTATCCCTCATAGCAGGGACTCCAGGACACAGGTGAGAGCCTTTAGCGATGTACCTCGAGGACTCCTGAGACTGCAAAAAGTGAGGCCGTGGGTGAGAGAGGGAATGATCCAAGAGGCTCTGGAACTGCCAAGATAACCCTCCGGACAGGGTAGACCCTGCAGACAGCTGGGGACCTTATGAACGTGCACCTTCCTGGGCCCGTTTCAGACCTGCCCCATCAGTGTTTGTGTGGCTGGGGATCTGCAGTTCCCTGGCGGTGATACCCAGGGAGGCTAAAACTTTAGGCTGACGGGTTAGGGCTTACAAGAAACAGGGACTTCTAAACAAAGAGGAGGAGACCCCCTGCACCTCTGGGTGATCCCTGTCTGGGAGACCTACAGAGGCAGCCTGGCTGGACCACATGCAGAGTTGGGGAGGAGCGGAGAGCAGAGGACAGGGCCAGGAGCTCATGAGCCCTGTGGCCCAAGGAGAAGGGGGCTCTGGCTCTTCTGAATTCCGAGACATTCCAAACCCTAGCACCCTCAGTGAAAGTTCCCAGAGAGAGCAACTCATGATTACTATGTCTTGTCGATTCTGACCTAAACACCCACACAGCAGGCAAAGAGGCAGAGATCTCCGTTCCACTATGGCTTAGAATAAGCAGCCGGCCTAGAATTTGGGGGGTGAGAGACCACAAAGCATTAAAGACTGGCTGCACAGTCCCCAGTGATTTCTCTTGCTTTCCTCTGGGGGCTCTTCTGGTTTCACCAACAGGGGATCGAAAGGCAGATGGGCGTTCTGCAGGACAGGAGGGAGGCAACACTCCTGGGGGGGAATGAGGTGGGGGGGTGGTTAGGGACTCAAAGGATGGAGTCAAAGATGGTTCCTCAGGAAGGAACAGGAGCCGGGCAGGTAGGGGGGAGGGATGAGGCGGAGAGGGGCAGGTGCCCCACGGCTGGGGAAAGGCTGATGCGGAGGCAGACGGCGGAGCTGGGCCCAAATCCTACACTGACCTCGATGAAGAAGAGCGCGGCGTTGGAGGTGGGGTGGCCGTTGATGTAAATCCCAGCCAGGACGATGGCTGCCACCAGGAGGACCGCTAGCACAATGCCCACGATGGTGCCCAGGTGCACGGGGGGGCCCTTGGTCTTGGGGGACAGGTTGTTCTGAAGGCCTGTGGAGAGACCGTTAGGGTAGGGAGTGGCTACCGGGGAACCGGGAAGGGAGGGCCACGAAGTCCTAGGTCCTAGGTTATCAAAGAGAAGTTCTCTCCAACACCCGTGCCACTTAAACGCTTTTCGAGAATTCTCATAGGTTATATGATGGTGAAGAGTTTGGGATCTGAATATTGCTCCCTGATTCAAATTCAAGTTCCATGGTTTATAAGCTGTGTGACCTCAGGCGAATTACATAACCTCTCGGTGCCTCACTTACCACTCTTGTAGAACAAGGACCATAATGATTACCATAATAATTACCTAATCATAATGATTATAACCCTAAGGGTTAAAACCAGATCATTCGCGTCTACTGCTGAAGACCAGGGCTGGTGTCTCAGATGACCTCAGCTATTTTGATAACAAAATGACCATATTTTCACCTGTCACTGTCTGCTACCAGACTGTGGCCTCCTGGAGGGCAAGGACAGTGTCTTCTTATTCATCTCTGTGTCCTTAGCTCTTAGAAAAGATGGCGGGCCCCATGGTAGGAGCTCAATAAAAGAGTGAACCCAGTCCTCCGAGGGCTAATAAACCAGCAGGCAATCTCTGAGAACATTCTGAGCATTTGAAATACATCCCACGGGGAAGGTTGACTATTGCTATAGACTATCAAGCTGGAAGGTCATCTAGTCCAGCCCCTCTCTTGGATGGCTGGAAATAGAGACAGGTGAAGCGATTTGCTCAAGGACAGAGTCAGCCAGCCGCTGACAAGCCTGTATTCCCATACTACCTGGGGTGGCTACTTGCCTCTTCTCCCTACCCTACAGGGATGTGCAGATAATGGAGTAGAAAAGACTGATGAGCACATAAGCAAAAGAAATGCCAAATCCTTTCCTACAGGGGTCGTGGGTGGAAGAGGAATCAGCAGGAGGTGGGGACTTGAAACACACATCCCCATCATTGTCCTCCCCTTCCCTTCTCCTCTGCCCTGTCCCAGGTGGGTGAGGATGTGGAGTTGGCGGCGGGGGGGGGGGGGGGGGGGGGGGGGGGGGTTCCCAGTGCACTGTTAGTGCCCCCTACCTGCCAACAGGTGAGGTGACACACCCCCTGCTGGCCTTCCCGGACCTGGCAGTCAGCCTGCAGAGACCCTGGTGATCTGATAGGGTTTGGGCTGAAGAGCACATGGTGCAGAGTGAGGGGAACGTGGTCCAGTCCCCACTCCTCACTCCCAGCCTACACTCACAATGCACACTCACGCCCACCACCCACAGAGCGGTCATGGCTTTGTCTCTGTGGGGAGACTGGATCACCATGTTGCATCAGTAGCCTCTCCCCACTGTGAGAACCCAAGATAACAATGTCTCTGCCCCTGGAGTTTGGAAGGCATTTCCAGTCCCCCCGTGTGGTGGTTGTCACAAGGGCCCAAGATGACCCAGGGCCAAGAGCAGGGGAGGTGGGACATGTCATGTCACCAGATAGAGAATATCCTTGTACTTAATCTTGGGAAAAAAGGACCCCAATTTCCGGGACCCTGTAAAATGTGGGGTGGACAAGTTTTGTGTACCCTTTGCCCACGCAGGCAGGGAATCTAAGGCAACTCGATGTGGGAGAAGCTGTGCTCCACCCCTCATTGACGGTGAGGCCCAGGGGGACAAGAGGGGCGGCCAACGGTGACAGGCCCCACACTGCCATGCCTGCTCTAGCTCAGCTCTCCCTTCCTCCTCTGGCTCTTTTCAGGGCAGTGAGTAGTCAAGACAGACCTCCGGGAGGTGTCTGGCTGATGAGAAATGTCTAGAGGTAGACACATTCCTTCAATCTAAGTGGGCCCAGGCCCAGGAGCCCAGTGGGAGGTCTGGGAAGCTCAGGCTGCTGTCACTCTCCTCCCCACCCACCTCGGAGCCAAAGCAAAGAGGCCAGGGGACTGCTGCACCCTCTTGAGGGGCGGGGGGTTTCTAAGAGGCTGTGGGTCTGATGGAGAGTGGCAGGAAGCTCTGTACTCACCCTCTCCTCCTGCATAGGGATTCAGCTTGGTGTCATCTTCGAAAAGAAGGAGAGAAGGCATCAGATCAGTGCAATCATTATGGTCTTGGTCACTTTAGGTCCAGATGGGATTTTTAAGGAGGTTTAGTCCCACCCCACATTTTTTTTTAAAGATTTTATTTATTTATTTGACAGAGATCACAAGGAGGCAGAGAGGCAGGCAGAGAGAGAGGGCGGGGGGGGGGGGGGAAGCAGGCTCCCTGCTGAGCGCAGAGCCCGATGTGGGGCTCGATCCCAGGACCCTGGGATCACGACCTGAGCCGAAGGCAGAGGCTTAAACCCACTGAGGCACCCAGGTGCCCACAACCCCACATTTTATGTGGGTTTTTAAAAAAAATTTTTTTTGAAGAGTTTATTTCTAAGTAATCTCTATACCCAATGTGGGGCTCAAACCCACAACCCTGAGATCAAGAGTCTCACGCTGTACCAATTGAGAGAGCCAGGTGCCCCAATCCTTCATTTTAAAGGCAAAGAAACTAAAGCACAGGGAGGGGAGGTGCCTTGCTTCAAGTCACACAGCAGTGTAATGGTGGAGGTCCACAAAGAAGCCAACTTTTCCTAGTCCCGTGTTCATTCATTCAAGCAATATTTATTGGATGTTTACTATGCAGTTGAGCCCTGGGAGTAGGCACTGGGGTTCAACATGGTCTCTGCCCTCAGGGAGTTAACAAGTTGGGGAGAGGAAGTGACATCTAAAACCCAGCATAATGAAGCTCTGACTGGGGGCCTCACCCAGATAAAGTGTGTAAGGACGGAGAGGCGAGACATGGGTTGGGGGAAAGGATTCTAGACAGAAGAAAAAGCATGAGCAAAGGCCCTGAGTCAGCAAGGATTTGGCCAGCTGGGAATAAAAAGCAGGGCAGTATAGCTGGAGGGTGGAGAGGGTGTGAGTAGGGAGTGGTGAGAGATGAGGCTAGGGGCACGGGAGGCTAGGAGGGGCTGAGGAGGGGCCTGCGTTCCAGGTGCAGATCTGCTTGAAGACCTCCCCCTCCTCACCTACACACAACTTGGAGGAAAGATGTCTACACTGCAAGGTGTGTGTCCTGTGGCTTCCTAAATCAGTTCCTATGGTTGACCCTCGCTGTGGCTCTTCCCCACAGGTTGTGGCCACAGCAGCTTTTCTCCCACTCAGCCAAGGCTGGTTCCCAGCTGCCATCTTGCTGGGGGGCATGGAAGGCAAAATGGCTCCCTCATCAGTGGACTGCAGTAGAGTCCCAGGAAGACTCGCACAGTGAGGAAATGCGTGTGGTAGGTATTGAATGAGTGGTCATTTTTCTGAGTCAGTTGTCACTTTTTTTTTTTAAAGATTTAATTTATTTATTTGAGTGAGAAAGGGATAGAGAATGAGGGGTGGGGAAGGACAGAGAGAGAGAGAGAGAGAGAAAAGCAGACTCCCTGCTGTGCAGGAAGCCTGTTGTGGGGCTCAATCCCAGGATCCGGACTGGAGATCATGACCTGAGCTGAAGGGTAGATGCTTAACCGACTGGGCCAACCAGGTGTCCCTGAGTTGTCCCCTCTTGCTGCTAGCGGTGTGCTCTGTTCTGTTCAGCTGCCCATCACATGAGCCCTTCTCTTGCACACGCTTATTCAGGGGGAGGGCCTGGCTCTCCTTGGAATGAAATGCACAGGTTTGTGGCCGCTGCTTGCCACCCAGAGGTCATTCTGGTTCTCTTTGGAGGAGCGCTCAATTGCAAAAAAAAAAAAAAAAAACACAAAGAAATCCAGCCCCCACACCTCCTATGCACCCAGCCCTCTCTGCTCCTGAGCTTGGCTGGTGCCAGAGGGGTCCCCGCACCGACCAGCAGCCCGCTCCCACTAACTCGTCTGCTCTCCAGCTCTGCCCTGGCAAGGTGGGTCCCTTTGGCTGTATCCCCTTCGTTCCCATCTCCCTGTACCCCAAGATAGACCACGCAGGACAGACTCTAACTCCTGGACTGGATTACTCACTTCCTGTCTCTTCCTTATTCTTTTTCATTTAATTCATCTGAGAACAAATGCTCTCAAAACCTGCACTGCACCCCACACCCTGTTAATCCTGGATCATCTTAGAAAAATGGGAGCTACCCAATCTGCCTTGATGTTCACCACTTTGCTATTTTTTCCAGCCCCTCAAATCCACAAAGACCCTTTTTTTTTTTCAGCACTGGAATGCCTGGGTGGCTCAGTTGGTTAAGCATCTGCCTTCTGCTCAGGTCATGATCCCAGGGTCCTGGGAGGGAGTCCCCATCAGGATCCCTGCTCAGCGGGGAGCCGGCTTCTCCCTCTGCCTGCTGCTCCCCCTGCTTTTGTTCTCTATCTGACAAATAAATAAAATCTTTTTTTTTTAAGGTGTTTTTTTTTTTTTTTTTTTTCCCCAGCACCAAGGAAAGCAGTCGAGGGGCAAGATCTCCTCTTTTGAGCTGAATGAGACCTGACTCCATCTCTTCCAGCCTGTGTGACCCTGGGCAAGTCACTGACCTCCCTAGACCTTAGTGTCTTCTCTGAGAAATGGAGATATAACAGAATCAGCGTGCAGGGTTGTCAGGAGGACCAAGTGAGTGTTGATGCCTGAACAATGTTAGCCCATGGTCAGGCCCCTCAGAATGTTAGCTCACAGGGTGCCTGAGTGGCTCAGTTGTTAAGTGACTGCCTTCAGCTCAGGTCATGATCCTGGGGTCCAGGGATCAACCCCTGTGTCGGGCTCCCTGCTTGGCGGGGAGTCTGTTTCTCCCTCGGACCCTCACCCTGCTTGTGTTGTTCTCTCTTTCAAATAAATAAATAAAATATTTTAAAAAAAATGCTAGCTCGCCTATTATTTGCTCCCTCCTCTAGGACTTCCTTCTGGCCAGACCCATGGGTCCATTCTCCAGTTCTTTAGGCTGCAGTGAGAAAGGCAGAGGGGCACCATGGAAAGAACATTCCACCACTTCCTTTGCAGGTAACCCCGAGTAACCAACTTCGCCCCTACGGAGCCCGTTTCCATAGCTACCAAATGGGATGGTGGCTGAATAATGTTTTAAAACATTTGCCTTTTTCTCTTCTCCTTTCCTCTGTTGCATTTGCTCCTTTCAAGCAGGTACATAGCTCCGTGGAGGCGGGACAAGCCCATGTCTTTCTGAGCCTGAGGGCAACAGGCTAACACCTGGAAGTGATGTACTAAAGAAGGATAAGAGAGGAAAATCTGGGAAGGGCCTGCACCGGGCTTCCCCTGATGCTATGTGGTACCTCTGGGTGGACAGACCTCTGGCAGCTTCAAGAACCCAGGCCTTGGGATGGCAGAAGTCCCTGAGGGGGGTGTGGGGGGGGCAGCTAGACCTTGGAGAGGTGGGGATGGAGCATCAGCATTCCTCCTGAACACAGCTGCCCCACTCCGACCCTCTGTCCACACCAGGTCCCAGGGTCAGGAAGCCAGGCTGAGGGGCACCCCTCCCGCTGAGCACGGTTGGAGGAAAATCAGGCAGTCTTTCACTCACGTCTGAGTGTGTGGACTGAGTGTGTGGACAGCTACAAGGCTGCTAAGACCTCCCAGGTTCTGTGAGGACAGCTATTAAGATGACCTGAGGCGGACCATATGACATTCCGAGCCCTGGGCTGGGACGTCTGTCTTCCCCTCGCCACAGCGAATCCATCCCACCGTCCCGACGTGGGCCAGTGCCTGGCTCTGCCTCTCCCCAGGGGCCCTCCTCTGTGAAAGTTGGGCCATTCCTATTCCCTGAGACAATCCCTGTCAGGGATGGTTGCAGGGGCCCCAGGCCTTTCCCTCCCCGGGGCTTCTTCCCCCAGCTGCTCCCCACTCCTGGCTCAGGCCTTACCTTCTGTGGTGAGGCTGTCGATGAAGAGCGAGGAGGAAGTGGTGGTGAGGTCTCCGTCAAAGGGACCGAAGGAGCTGTTGGGGGAGGCCGAGTAGTGGCCTTCGTCCCGGAAGTCCTCACACGTCCTGCCCTCTGCCTGCAGGACAGACCCCGCACCGCTCTGCACTCACTGCCCGCCGTGCAGAAAAGAGCCCTTACTTGGGAGGATGGAGGGGGACCCCTCGTCCCTCAGCGGCCAGAAACCTTCAGATGCCAGTGCACGGCTCAAGGGTGGTAAGCTGGGCCCTGAGGGCACTTACACCTTCCACTTTATCCTGAAAGTGCCTGATCTATCTTACAAGGCAATTTAGCTGACTGCGGCTTCCAATCCTTCCTCGAGGAAGGAGTGGAGATGCCAATCTTACACAAATAAAGCAAATCCGTACGTTCACCACAGCCAGCGCCCCAAGTGGGCTGCTGGACAAGATTTGTTTTCAGGTCATAGAAGGCTCCTCTGGCCTTACTAATAACAGAGGAGGTGGTGAGCGCACAGACTGGGGCCTGGGGCCTTGGCACTTCTGTATCCCACCCGTTGCACGGGGCAGGTCAAGTCATGAAATCTCTCTGTGCCTCAGTTTTCCGCTCTGAGCAGGTGGGGGGGACCAGCCCCCCGGCTCCTGCGCCTGTTCCGATGAAATCAGAGCAAGTGCGGGCAGTGTGCTGTGGAGGGCTCACATGGCAAGAAGGGATGGAGAGGACGAGGGAGAGGAAAAGGATGCCCAGATGAACGGATCTGTCTGGGTCAGGATAAGGTTTAAGAATAGGACGCTCCCCACCCAGAATCAAAGTGTAGAGCATTCTGGAAAACTCCAGCAGCGAGAAGGAACCTGTATGGGATTCTAAAGGGGAGGTGCCCGGAACCATCCTCTTCCCTCCCAGAAAAGCCTGCCTCCAGAGAGCTCTCGAAAATCTCCCAAGTCTGGCCTCACTGGCTCAGGGCAGTCTGAAAGGCAAGGCCCGGATGGAGGGGAGAATTCCGCCAAAAGCCAAAGACACCTTGTGGAGAGCTCCTGGGGGACAGGCCTGCCAGGGCAGCCTGACCGTTTCCCACAAACTGGCTTGCTGAAGCTTCTCACCTCCTGGGCACAGCCGTAGGCCAGCCACTCCTGGCGGTAGCGGTCAAAACCACTGGAGCATCTGCAAGGGGACCAAAAGGTAAGAGGTGTGAAGGACTGACAGAGAAGCCCTCCCCTTCTTTCCCCCGGTCAGTAATAGCTCTCTGACGATAGTGAGGAGGGGGCCGACCTCCCAGGGCTGCGGTGATCAAGACCATGGGGCCGGTGCCCTCAGCACCAGGCAGCTGGGGGATCAGCAGTCAGACCCCTCTTCCCCAATTACGCCAAAGGAAGGGAAGGTGTCTGTGTCATCTCTATCCTCCTTTGGACCCAGCTCCCCAGGACTAAGGCCACATCTACCCAGATGTGTGTGTATAGGGCGTTAGATGGACTGCATGACCTCAAATAAACTTTAAAATTCTCTTGGCTCTAGGCTGCTATGAAATTGCTGAGCACCAGGGAAATCACACAAATGTCTTCTCGGGAAAGCCTCGCTTATTCATAGACAGTCCTCCTCCTTCTTTGCGGAGGGGCCTGCACTTGACAAGGAGAGTCTGGGCTGACGGTGGACGTCAACAGAGTCAGTCAATACCTCCTGTGTGATCATTAAAGGGCAAGAAGGAGGGTCTTGCCAGAGGCTAGGAGAAATTTAAAAAACTGGCTGGTCAGTGTCCCAGGAAAGGACGCCGTGCAGCTCCACTGGGCTGGGAGAGGCCAAGTGCATCCCTAGGGAAGGAGTGGGGGTACGAGGATGAACCAGAGAATGTTAATGTTCTCCGTGGCATCAGGCTCCCATTTCCATTCTTCACTCTGGTGCCAGGGGAAGCCAGCAAGCCCTGCTCTAGCTCTGGGACATCTGCATGGGAAGAAGCATCCCATGAGCCATCAGTGCTGAGAGAAGATTTGTGGTTAGTTAACTTTCTTCCCTAGCATCCGCCCACTCCTCTGCCAAAGACCTGGTGAGGCAGAAGGTTCCTGAGCACTGAGCTGCTTCTCCTGCAGCAGAGGGAGCGGGGACGCACTAAGCCATCCCCACTCCCCCACTCTCAGGTCCTCTGTGTCCACTACTTTGGGGCATGGAGGATTGTGTTAGGGGCTGGGAGCTAAAGTTCCTTTTGAAGCCAAACTAAAGGATTCTTTCAAGGGCTGAGCCTTTGATAATAGGTCTAAGAGCTTCACATTCTAAGCCCTGAGCCAACCAACCCAGATGCAGAGAAAGGCCTGAGATATGGCCACTATTGAGCGCCTCCTGAATGCCAAAGGCCACACCAGCCATGTGCTATTCCTGTCCTCTTTCAGGGGACCCTCACAGTGACTCTGAAAAGCAGGGATTATGGCCCCTCATTCCCTGGGCCAAATCCTGGAGTTAAGGTTACCTCCTAAGGGGGTGGGTTGGGGGTGATGTGGGATGAAAGGAAGACACCAGCCATGGTAAGTGAAATTGTCTAAATCAGATCCAGCCCCAGCGCAAGGAGGGGAAGCTCTGGGAGGCTGCGGAAGGCAGAGTGGGTGGCGAGGAAGGGGAAGCTGAGAACCCACAGGGTGATTGCAAGCAGCTGTGGCGGGGGAGAGTCCCTGGTGGCTGGGCCCTCGGCACCAGCCCTACCTCCTGGCTCTTTGGGGACCCGGGGTCAGCTCTCAGTGGATGCCAAGACTCCAGATGGCTGGCAAGGAGGACCCCGTGCTGGGGTGAGCCCAGGCCCACGGGCATTGGGGGACAAGACTTCGGACCCACATCAGCCTTGCCTTCTCACTGCTGGAGCTTCTCCATCCCAGAGCTGACATGACCACAGCAAAGACCATGCCTGCACTTAAGGCCTTGGCCTCCCCCAACCTGACCAACCCTCATTAAACGGTCACGGTCTCTGGGTTTGGGCGTATGTGTTAAATGGGGATGTGTCCATGCGAGGCTTTTGCTTTCATCTGACCCATTTTGAAGTTCTCATGGCTCAGCTCTGGTTGGACGCTGAGTCATGCGGATTCCAGGGCTCATTTGAGGTCATCTGGGCTATCTCTCCACGCTGAGACAGTGGCTCGAAAACTTGAGAGGTCCAGAGGGGGACCACGCTGTAAAGCCACACACCAGGAGGGACCAAGCTGGGGTCTGCTCTAGGTATCCTCCCTGAGGCTCCATGCCCTTCGTGCACGGGACCCTGGACACTTTGCAAAAACGCTCTTTGGTAGTTGAGAAATTAAAATGATGGCATGTTCCTCACCCACTTTTCCCCGGGCCCACATCACCACAGAGCCCATTTTATGGGGAAAATAAATTGAGGCCCCAAGAGAGTGAGTAAGAGCACAGCTGATGGGAAGAAAAACACCCTGGAGCCCCTCTTCTCCTGGCCTGGGCTATGCCTTGTGCTGGGCAGGCCGCCTGCGAGGGCGGCAGCTTCTATTTCTGCACCAGGATGTTTGAAAGGAGCAAAGGAAATACTGACAGGTGCCCCACAGCTGCATGGAACGCAGAGACTCTGTAATTTGCAATTTTCAAGATTGCCTCGGAGGCTCTCGGAGTTCACAGGGCTTCCCACTCTCATGAGAGCCTCAGTCCCCAGAGACATTTTTGCCCCTTCCTGCTATTTATTTATCTTGGACAGGAGAACAGGGCTCAGATTCTGAGTCTAATCTGTGAGGAAATGATTTCAGAACAAGGAGTGGAAGATGAGTTGGATTTAAGAACTTTATCCCTGCATCCAAATGTCATACGGAATTTTCCCTATTTCCAAAACCAAGAAAACACAGTTTTGTAGCCTGCCCTAACCTTCCACAGATGCCTGCAATTTCCATAGCCCCAATTTTCAGGAAACTCCCTTGCAGCCTGACAAAGATCTTCAGGAGGGGTTTTGGGGTCAGGGGATCCCATCCAACGGCAATGGGACTTTGGAGCCGGGAGGTCCCACACTTGTTTGCAGATGAGGCACCGTGTTGAAATTCAGGCTCCTGGGCGTCCCTCCCAGAGACCCTGATCCTGCGGGGCCTGGGGCGGGGCCCAGGAATCTGCATATTTAACCAGAGCCCTAGCTGATATTGGGATCCTCACAGCTGTGGATCATTCTCGAGAAGCCCTGCCCTAGGATGAGCCAACTCTTCTGGGGTGTGAGGAGGAATTGCAGTTGGTGGGATCCCTGGACGGTCTTCCGGAAACCTAGCGTCACCATAGGGACCTGGCTACACGGTCACCTTGATTGGTCCCAGGCCTTAGGGAAAGACTCACTTCTGTGACATTCTCGTCCCAGGGGGCACAGTGGACTGGCTAGAGATACTCTCATGGTGGCAGTGAGGCGGGGAGTGGGGGCCAGGCTACCCTCCGCCCCTCCTCCACAGTCCACCCGTGGGCTTCAGCCTGGGCACAAACCTCTGGAGGACATGGCACCAGCTGCAGTTGAAGGTCAGGTCTGAGGACACGCAGGCGTCACAGCTCTGATGCTGCAGGCAGGCTGCAAGAGAGAACGTGACTGTCCCCCAGCCGCAGACCCTCCGTGGACCTCCACAGACCTCCAAAAGGCACAACTCTCCTCGGTGCCAGGCCTTTACAGAGCTACGGAGTCTCTGACTAGCAGGGACCCTGGAACTCATTAAGGCCACCCTCGCTCGCATCCAGCCCCGATTCTTCTGTCTGTTTCTCCCTCCTCCCCTTTCTTCCTTCCTCCTTCCATTCCCAGGGGGCTGGGCCCCGAGCTGGGACTAGGGTTTGCGCCGTAAATCCTGGTGCCTGCCTTCTTGGGCCTTATAGTCCTCTGGGTGGACAGACACTAAATAGATCATCAAACAAACATAACTATGTCATTATCATCATGATGAGGCTCGGGAAGGAAAATTACAGGGGCCTGGAAGCATGGACAAAGGGATCTCACCTAGCCTGGGAAGTTACACTGCTGGGCTGTTGCCCACAATTACAGGCTGGAAAAGGATTCTTTGTCTTAACTGAGATCTGTTTGACACAGAACATTGTATATGCTCAAGACGTAGAGCATGTTGACTTGACACCTTTATATTGCACTATGATTGCCATTGTAGGGTTAACTATGAATGCCACTAAGTCACATGGTTGCTATGTCCTCTCCTGGCAGGAACAAGAACTAGTCTTCCAACAAGTTTAATTTTTTTTAATTCATTAATTTATTTATTAGAGAGAGAGAGAGCACGAGCAGGGCGGAGAGGGGAGAAGCAGGCTCTCTGCTGAGCAAGGAGCCCCATGCGGGACTCGATCCCAGGACCCCGAGACCACAAAGCAAGCCAAAGTCAGATGCCTAACCCACTGAGCTACCCAGGCACCCTGAATTTAATGTTTAGAATACACTTCTGTTGGCTCTAATCACAGAAAAGGATGTTTATGATGTTCTGGTTTGCCCCCCAGCCAGTGTTAGCTGGGAGCATGCCTTCCGTCCATGTGGAGCACCTGGGGCCAGAATCATCCCCTGGCCTGTCTCCACCTCCTCACTCACTTCAGGGGAGCCTGAGCACTGCATTTGTGAGGGATCAACCAGGCATTCCCGATTCCATCCCTTTCTTCTCCCTCCCCACTTGGAAGTGAGCTACCCCCGGGGCTGTGTGGGTCTCTCTGCTCACTTGGGTTAAGTCTCACGTGGGGAGTTACTGAACCTCACTGTGTCTCAGTTTCTCCTGTGGAAAAGAGGGATCCTGGTGGTCTCTGCTGGGCAGACGTGCAGTGAGGATGAAATGAGGGGACCCGGGGAGAGGGTCTGTACGTGGGCCGGCCCTGAGGTGAGTCCTGTGAATGCTGCCCGTGGGTGACTGTGACCTTACTCGTGCCCCTCAGCGTACCTACCAGGGATTCATCCACTCATTCATTCATGCTCACGTTCATTCTTCTTTGCTTTTTAGAGATTTATTTGTTTGAGAGAGAGAGAGAGCGAGCGCGCACACGTGAGCAGGGGAGGGAGAGAGAGAATCCCCAAGCAGGCTCCCTGCTGAGTGCAGAGCCCGATGTGGGGCTCGATCCCAGGACCCCAAGATCATCACCTGAGCCGAAACCAAGAGTGGGACGCCTAACCGACTGTGCGCCCTGATGCAGTCTTTCAACAGGTATGTATTGAGCACCTGCCGCAGGTAGGCACGGTCCCGGCTGTGGAAGCTGCAGTGACGAACAGGGAAAGATGGACAGACGCGCTCCTGGCACAGAGTCTGCCGCTAAGCGCAGGAGATGCCCAACAATACCCAGACAACAAAGTCTGCACTAGGGTTTCTAGCAGCAGGCTGGGAAAACGAGGGGCTCAGAACAGGGAGGCAGGGTGACAGTGCGGGGGTTGTCCTTTTCGGGGAGGTTGGCGAAGGCCTCTGAGGAGAGGTCGTTTGGGCAGAGATTGAGAGCAGGGAGGAAGCAAGCCTGGAGGCTCTCCTGGAGGCAGAGGAGGAGTTGAAGCAGAAAAGCCCCTGAGCACAGAGGCCCGGGAGGAGCATATTCCAGCGGTGTTCCCAGCGGCCGCCAGAACACTAACGGGCTGCATGGAGTGGACAAGCTGAGGGTGATGGGAATGAGGGGGAGGGACAGCTGGGGGCTGGCCTGGGGCAGGGCAGAGCCGGAGAGCAGAGGAGTTAGTGGGAGCGGGCTGCTGGACAGTGCGGGGACCCCTGTGGCACCAGCCAAGCCCAGGAGCAGAGAGGGCCGGGGCGCAGGAGGTGTGGGGGCTGGATTTTAAGCGTTGTTCGCTTGCGATTGAGCGCTCCTCCGAAGAGAAGCAGAATGACCTCTGGGTGGCAAGCAGCGGCCACAAACCTGGGCATTTCATTCCAAGGAGAGCCAGGCCCTGAATAAGTGTGTGCAAGAGAAGGGCTCATGTGATGGGCAGCTGAACAGAACACACCGGTGGCAGCAAGAGGGGACAACTGACTCAGAAAAATGACCACTCGTTCAACACCTACCACACCCATTTCCTCACTCTGTGAGTCTTCCCGGGACTCTACTGCAGTCCATTAATGAGGGAGCCACTTTGCCTGCCATGCCCCCAACCTCAGCAAGATGGTGGCTGGGAACCAGCCATGGCTGAGTGGGAGAAAATCTGCTGTGGCCACAGTGTGTCACTTTCAGTCACTGTGAGAGGGACTGGCTGTAGATGGCACTGTGTCCTTTCAATAGAATGGAGCTCTCCAGCTGTTTTGTCCCCTGCTATACCCAGAGGGCCCAGAACAGCTCCCTATCACGGATGGCCGGTAGGCAGTTAACCAATGTTTGTGGAATCGATGCCTGCGTGATTTTGTTATCCCCATTTTACAGGTGAAGGAACTGAGGCTTAGGGAGAGTCACAGAGCTAGGAATGGTGGTCTGGGCTTGAACTGAGGTCTGAGGGAGCCAAAAGCCTGAGCTCTTAGCCTGGAGGTTCCACAGGGGGTTTCCCTGCCCCAGCTCCCACCCTCTGCCCATGCCACCCTCTTATGGTGTCTTCTGGAAGAGGGACCAGGAGGAACTGGCCACAGAGTACAATGGCTTGGAGACAGCCCATCCACACCTCTGGACAAATCTTGGGTAAGTAAACCACCCCCCCACCGGCCACCCAAAGGTAAGAAAGAAATCCTTCCTGGTTGGGGGTGGGGGTGCAGAGTTTTCTTGGGACCAAGTTAACCAGCTTCCAGAGGCTCCAAGCAATTGCTCCAGGTAAACTGGCCATGAGAAAAAGGCCTGGGAGCCTCCGTGGGGTAGGTGTACAACCCACTGACCTTTATTTCTCATCTGCATTTCAGATGTCCTGCGAGCTATTAAATGCTCACGAATTCACTGGAGGGGTGGAAGTGGCTGAAATGTACAGTGTCCCAGAAACAATTCTCAGGATGCTTCACTTCCGCCCAGGCAGTTACCTGCCCTTGGATGTCCTTGCTCCCAAGTGCAGTTTATTCAAGTCCTGAGCCTGGAGGTTTGCCCTCAGCAGTCCTTGAGGAATCCCTGCTTCTCAGGCCCCAGGTCTCTCCTGCCTAAGACAGAGGGCAGCTGTGGCGGGGGTGGGGCTGTGACCTTCAAGGGGTTCGTGTCCTGTGACCCATGGTGTCTGTGTCCTTCCTCTTTCCCAGGGGGAGACACCTGCTAAGTCCCACTGAGACAGGCCTAGTGTTCAAGAACTTTCCTCCTCCCCTTCTTTCTCCACTCCCCCCGGCTTCCAGAACCTCCAGGGAAGAGGAAGCCAGGGGAGGCAAGGCAAGAAACACCCCAGAAGGCAGGAAGAAGGCCATGGACTCAGAGGGAAGCTGGTAGGTACTGTGAGACAGGAGAGGAAATTCAAACTCTCTTTCAAAAATGCAAGAACAGGGGTGCCTGGCTGGCTCAGTCCGGAGGGCATGAGCCTCTTGATTCAGGGTCATGAGGTCCCACATTGGTTGTAGAAATTAAGTAAACAAATAAACTTTAAAAAATAAGAAGAAAGTAAAACTGCGGGCTGCGAGAACAAGAGTGCTGTCCTCCTATCCCTCGCTCTCCCCAGCTGCCCGGACCATATCCCAAAGGGCACCTGATCCCGATCCTCTGGGGTCCACAGCAACAGCTGGGGCCTTGGTCATGGACCTCAGCTATAGGTGAGTGGGGCACCGGGGAGGGCCGGAGCCGTGGTTCTTGGAGGACTGCTGGCTAAATCGCTTTATTGCCTCCAGCCTGTGAACTCTGGCATTACTGCTCCTCTAAGGAACATATGACAAGAAATGTAAGGGCCCATGGGTGCCTGGGAGGCTCAGTCTGCCTTCGGCTCAGATCATGATCCCGGGATCGAGCCCTGGCATCTGGTGCTCCCTGCTCAGAGGGGAGTCTGCTTTTCCCTCTTCTCTCTGCCCTTCTCCCCTACTTGTGTGCACTCTCTCTCTCTCTTTCGCAAATAAATAAATAAAATCTTTAAAAAAAAAAAAAAAGAAAAGAAAAAAAGAAAGAAATGTAAGGATTGATTCATTCGGTTCCTGGATTACCTTTCCTGGGGGCTCAGTCTAAAAATCCTCAAGGATACACCTTTCCTGGTTTTAATTGTGTGTTAATCACCACAGGTATCCTGTATCAAGTACAATCACGCCCGGGATGCCAGCTAGTGTCAGCGCTGGCATTAATGTCCTCAACTCTACCTGCCATGCTTCTGACCCTGACCTTAGCTCTGGGAGGGAAGTGGTGTGAGGCCCATGTGACAAATGAGAAAGGGGAGCCCGGAGAAATGAGGTGGCTATATCCACACAAGGGTCAGTGGTGGGCCTGGGAATTGAACCCAGATTGTTTGGCTCTGAAGCTCTTTCCAGGACAGTGGAATGCCCTCCCTTGGCGGGGACGACCCCTACTCACTTGGCATTGGGGTGAACTCCACAGCTGATGTGCTGGTGACCTTGCTGGGGTCCAGCTCCACACGATGGTATTCGAAGATGGTCCTTCGCCGAGATTCTGAAACAGAGGCAGAGCCCGTCACTGGGATCACCGCATGCCCAGAGGACTTTGAAGTTTGTACCCAGAGCCTGACAGGTGGGTAAGAGACTCAAGTGAGTGGATGGGGGGGTGGTCAGGATGCAGCCCCTAAGGGCAGGAAGTAAACTCATCAACCTCGGACAATGATCTCAAAGCTGCAGGGAGACAGGAGGACAGGAGTTCACCCTGCAAGGAGAACTTTGAATTGTCGACAGGTTAAACTACCCAACACAGAGGACTGGCTGCTCCTGAGGTCAAGACCTAGGAGCTCCCCTGCTTCTGCACAGCTCTGTGCCTTCACAGCTGCTGTTCCCTTGACCCATACTGTCCTTCCACGCCTTCTCCCCTCCTCTAGCTCATCCTTCCAGATCCAGCTCGGGACTACTTCCTCTGAGCAGCCTTCCTTCACCAGGTCCCTCCTTTTCTCTACCCAGGCCAGGCACCCTGCTCCCCCTGCACACCCCATGTATGTGGTCACCGGGGGCTATTTGGGGGGCAGGGCTGTTAGACAGTGAGCATCGGGTCCTGAACCTGACCCACAGAGAGCACTCTGCAAATGTCTGCAGACGCACAAGATGAACTTGGGAAACCTCTCCCGTCCGGAATGGAAGCCAGAGTGAGGTTCAGGGCCTGGGGCGGGTCTTATATTATGTCACAGTCCCTGCAGGGCATCTGTTTCAAGAAACCTGAGGGGTTTTTTTTTGTTTTGTTTTGTTTTGTTTTTGTTTTTTAAAGATTTTTATTTTTATTTATTTGACAGACAGAGATCCCAAGTAGGCAGAGAGGCAGGCAGAGAGAGGAGGAAGCAGGCCCCCTGCGGAGCAGAAAGCCCTACGCAGCCGATCCCAGGAGCCTGGGATCATGACCTGAGCCGAAGGCAGAGGATTTAACCCACTGAGCCACCCAGGCGCCCAAGAAACCTGAGTTTTGATTCAAGTTCCGCTCCCGATTAGGCCTCAGTTTCTTATTTGTGATGTGGAAAAGCAGAAACACCTGCTACAACACATTTGGGAGGAAAAACGTACAATTGTAGAGGAAAGACTTCTAAAATGACAATCGATGCTCTGATACTTTCCACCACATCTCCACACCCACCCAAGAACCACAACATGGGGTTGGTTTCCTTCAGCTCTGAAAGGCCATCAGCCAGCCGCAGAGCTTTGTGAATGAATTTCCCTACAAGGGGAAGGAGCCTTGTTATGCTCGGCCTGTTCAGCACCCCTTCTTCTTTATGGAAACAGCACTCCCTTTGAGGGAACTACCCCTAGTCCATTCCTACATGTGCTTGGCCCTGGAGCTACTACCATCTTCCCCCATGACTCTGCCTCCCTGGCTGCACAGTGATTGGTCCAAGGCTGGGCATGTGATGCAAGCTGGACCAATCAGAGACCTTCCCTGGGACTTTTCAACTGTAACCAAAAGGCCCTTTGCTTTCTGGTAACGAAGCTCAGAAAATGCAAGCTCCAAGTCCATGAACGGCCACAGGTCCGATCTCACGCACAGACTCATAGCAGTACATAATCGTGGCTCTCCAGCCTCTGGTGCCCCCAGGACCTGCCCTGGTCCCTGTCTCCCTGGCTCTCAGTTCTTCCTTTGGTTCTTTGGGCTGCTTCATATCCCCTCTTCTACTTAAGATAGTTTGAGCTGGGCTTTTGTTTCTGGAAGCCAAGAGCAGGCGGGGATGTAACTTTCCTCTCTCAGATGAAGGTGGTTTGGAGGAACCTTCCCCAAGGTGGCAGGAAAACTCATCAGGCCCAGCTGTGAAAGGAAGGGGGTCATGTGTTGGGTGCCCCCTCCTCAGTCCTCCTGCATGAAGAATCTGCTCAAAAGAACATCTCATCTTGGTTTCTATCATGGATTTATCTCCGATCTTGGAATCAATGCCTCCTACTGAACTGCGGGTTGAACCCCAATGGGTCTGGTGTTTCTCTTCCCACCACTGTGCGGCAGAGCAATGATGGGCACGTCGGCCCCAGGAACATTCCCAACCTCAGAATGTCCTGGAAACGTCGCCTTATGCAATGAATGAGTCCTTACTGGTGGCGTTTGCTGATTTTTGTGGTGTACACATGCCCCATGCGGATTTCAAACTACCAATTTGGAGTCACTGAACACAGCATCAGAAAGAGACGTGGTCACTCTGCTCTCGTGATTCTATACAAGGGTGCCTGCCACACCATAGCTCCTGGTTTCTCTGCAGTTGTCCTCCACATTCGAGGCTTCTCTTTCGCAGCCTGAGACCCCACCCCCACTCCATCAGCCATACCACTCACCTCCCCCCACCTCCTCACCAACGGAGGGTGTGAGTACAGTACAGTAAGATATTTTGAGAGAGAGACCACATTCACTTTCACTTGACTTTTATAACATGACATTGCTATCATTGCTCTGTGTTATTACTAGTTAGTGTTGTTAATCTCTTACTGTGCCTAGTTTATAAATTAAGCTTTACCATAGGTATGTAGGTATAGGAAGAAACACAGTATCCACAAGCTTCAGTGCTGCTCATGGTTTCAGGTAGCCACTGGGATCATGGAATGTGTGCCCGCAGATAAGGGGGGGACCACTGTATTTGTGCTTCTTAAAGGGCAGAAAGGAAACATTTACAGTGTTTCAGTAAAAATAAATACTTAAGCCAACATCCCAAAGATGGAGGAACTGTGTCCTTATTTTTTTCCTAAGCAACCCTAAGTCTGAAAGGGAAGGGGCCAAGAGGAAATCCTCATAGCCCTCAGGCACACAGTCACTACCCAATGTCTACAGGGTTACCAAGGTCCTAGGGAGGAGGAGAGACTCTTCCATCAAAAGCTGAGGGATGAGGTTCACAGAGCCCTGTACACACACACACACACGCATGCACGCACGCACACATTTTTTTTGGTACAAGAAAGGGCCGTTGCCAAGCAGGAGTGGGGTCTGGAAGAGATTGGGGTGAGGAAGGTCAGCTTTCTGTCATTTTTTGCTCAGTTTTTAATCTTTAATCTTTCATCAGGGCCTGTATGCGCTGCAGGGCCCTCCCCAAGTAGCACCAATTGCACTGGGAAGGTGGCCTGGGATAGGAGTGAGCCTAGGGGACGTGGGACATCTAGATGGAGGACACCCAGGCAGCCTTCCACGGCTCTGTCCCACACACCACCCCCAAGGGCTATCTCTCCTTCTGAAAAATCACCCCTTTGAGCATTAAAATATAAGGGGAAGAAAACAAAGGGAAATTCCAGGTCTTCCAAGGGGTGTGAGACCATGGGATCTATAATCTATGGAAACCTTTCTTCCTTTATCTGCTTCCTCTTGCAAGACTCAACTCAAAGGGCACGTCCTCCATGAAGGCTTCCCCACCCTCCCCAGCACCGTCAGTGGCCCCTCCTCTGAGCTTCACAGCTTCCTGCACGATGTCCAGGATCCCCTGTTACACCTTCCATCAGTATTCACTTTGATCAACACCTGCCCCACCAGGCTGAGCTCTACCACTCCCAATCCCTGGCCCCTAGCATCAGCCCCTGCACATAACAGGGCCTCAAAAGAAATGACTGTAAATGAATGAGTGGATTATAGATAGTCACCAAAACCTCAGCAAAGTATTTATAACTTCAGTCCACAGCCTAAAGGAAGAACGCCCTTCCTCCCCAGCCCACCAGACTATGGCCTTTCTCGAAAGGGGAGCCCCCAAAGGGGAATGTAGTCAGACATGCCCCTTCTGACCTTAGAGTTCAAAGGAGGGGAGAGCTGGCTTTCCGGATTTCCCACCTGCAAGGATGTAGAGGAGAGCTTGCCCCCAGGGTGGGAAGGAAGGAGAAATGGAAAGAACAAGTGAAGTCAGGTTGGGCATGAATGAGGGCATGAACTTGTCAAGGAGGCCGATTTCAAGGATAGAGACACACAAGCAGCAGCCAGGGAAGGCAAGGTTCCCAGCAAACCTCCCGCCAGAATCCAGGGATGGGTCCCCCCACCACCTGGGCCGGGGAACCAGAATTAGGGGTGTGCTCCAAGGGAGGATGCAGTCAGACGGGGTCAGATGTGCTCCAAAGCCCGTCATCACCCTACCACAGGGCAGGGAAGAGGAGTGTGGTAGGACGGGGGATGAGAGTGGGTGTGCGGAAATAGACCGCTGATTAAAAATATTTGCTCACTTCAACTGCCAGCTTGTACTTGTTTGAGTGTATGGCTTGGGTAATATTTTATTTCTCTATAAACAGAACTCTTAATATCCCTGCCTGAGTTATTTGCTTTTGGATTATCTCGCCAACATCTGGGGCTCGCCCAAGGACGATGACGTCCATCTGCACGACCAACAGATCCCTCCGGAAGCAAGACAGAGGCCTCCCCAAAGCCACATTTCTGGCAGTTTGAGACGTTCTGTTTTTATCTCTGCCTCCACTCATCAAAGATTCAGAAATTCTAAGATCCAGACACGGAAAGCGCTGCTACCCAGACAAGAAATGTTAGCGGCTCAAAAGAGAGGTTTACATGTCCCATTTTGTTTCAAAACCAGACACCAGCGGGGAAGGGTTGGATTGGCCAGAAGAAATCAGACTGACAAGTCCTGCCACAAAGTGCAACCACTCCAAAAATGGGTGGTTACAAGATTAAAAAATATAAGATGGTAGTTTTAGAAGAAGTTTTCATTTCTTCGTTCATGTATTTCTTTTTTTTTTAAGGCTTTATTTATTTATTTTAACAGAGATAGAGAGAAAGCATAAAGAGGGGGGGGGGGGGGGGGGAAGCAAGCTTCCCGCTGAGCAGGAAGCCCCATGGGAACTCGATCCCAGGACCCCGGAATCATGACCTGAGCCAAAGGCAGCCACTTAACAAACCGAGCCACCAGGTGCACCAAGAACGAGTTTCTTAAGCAAATGAATAGAGGAAATTTTATTGACTCCTGGGGGCCCCTGTGGCCAAATAAAGAGCATATGAGCTACCTTGTATATTTTGCGTGCCTCTGCAGAAAGCCGCCGCTAATTGCCCATAGATCTTGTCTCTGC